GAATGAGCATGAAGTATTTGAGCTGGATTAGCCTTGAGAAAAGATCATTGGGGATAGCAGTAATATTTTTCAAGAACTGGAATAAATAGGACATGCCCCCACCATTCAGGGCACAGAAGAATGAAGTTCCTGGAATGCAGATTCCAGTTGAACATTAAAAAAAAATTCCTAACAGGAAGAGCAATTCCATAGCAGAACCAACCAATGATGGCGTCCTCCCCCAAGATAGGTTCAGCCAAAATATTGATGGCCACCCACCAGAGATGCTTTAATATAATATACCTAGATTTCAGCGAGGCATTCGATAAAGTAAACCACAACCTACCTTATGGTAAGCTAGAAAAAAGTGGGATAGCACCACCACCAGATGGATTTGCAACTTCGCTGACAAACCATACTCAACTAGTAATCCTTAATGGGTCTAAGTCTACATGGAGGGAAGTAAGCAGTGGGGTGCCACAAGATTCCGTCTGAGGCCCAGTAATCTTCAATATCTTCATTAACAACTTAGATGAGGGAATAGAAGGGGAACTTGCCAAATTTGTAAATGATACTAAGCTGGCAGGAATAGCTAACACCCAAGAAGATAGGCTCAAGATCCAGATGGATCTTGACAGACTAGAACACTGGGCCGTATCTAACAAAATGAAATTTAATGTAGAGGAAAGTAAAGTCCTACACTTAGGCAAGAAAAACCAAAAGTACACATACAGACTGGGTGAAACCAGGCTTAATAGCAGGAACTGTGAGAGGGATCTTGGAGTCTTAGTGGACAACCAGCTAAATATGAGCCAGCAGTGTGCAGCAGCAGCCAAAAAAGCCAATGCAATCCTAAGTTGCATTAACAGAGGGATACAATCAAGATCAAGAGAAGTACTAATACCACTCTATAAAGCCTTAGTAAGACCACACCTAGAGTACTGCATCCAGTTTTGGTCACCACACTATAAAAAAGATGTTGAGACTCTAGAAAGAGTGCAGAGAAGAGCAACTAAGATGATTAGGGGACTGGAGACTAAAACATACGATGAATGGTTACAGGAACTGGGCTTGGCTGGTCTAGTGAAGAGAAGGACCAGGGGAGACATGAGAGCAGTCTTCCAATATTTGAGGGGCTGCCACAGAGAGGAAGGGGTCAAGCTATTTTCTAAAGCAGGGATCCCAACCACCGGGCCCCGGACTGGTCCCGGTCCATGGATCATTTTGTACCGGGCCGCCTACTTTGCTTGGGCGCCGCCATCTTGTTTTGATGGCTCTTGAGAAAGTGCTTCCAGATGAGCTTGTCGGTCGTCAGTTGGAAAGCGGCGTTAGGGTGCTGAAGGAATCCTTGCGCCTTAGTTTCGTCGAAGGGGGGTGGTGGCTTCGAATGAAGAGCCGTCCCGATGGCGGTGGAGTCTCGCATTACTCAGGAGGAGATTAAGAAAGAGCCCGAAAAGCCCATCGACTGCGAGAAGGTACAAAGGAGGAGTTGAAGGTGGCGGGGAGAAGCGGGGGGAGGGCTGGCTGGCCGGTCACTCGGCTCACCTTGCCTTGGTCGTGCGTACTGATGCCGGTACTGGTCCGTGGATCATTTTGTGATGCCGGTACCAGGCCGTGGTACAAAAAAGATTGGGGACCACTGTTCTAAAGCACCCGAAGGCCAGACAAGAAATAATAGATGGAAGCTGAACGAGGAGAAATTCAACCTGGAAACAAGGAGAAATTTTCTGACAGTGAGAACAATCAACTAATGGAACAGCTTGCCCTCGGAAGTTGTGGGAGCGCCATCACTTGAGACTTTGAAGAAGACATTGGACTCCCTTATGTCAGAAATAGTGTAGGGTCTTCTGCTTGGGCAGGGGGTTGGACTACATCACGAGTCACCAACCTTTTGGACACCAGGAACCACCAAACTCATAATTTTAAATCCCAGGGACCACTAATATGAATTTTGACTGACGGTGGCTTGCTAATGTTGGTGGGAGAGAGAGATCTGATCTCCCTTTCTCTCACACACATACACACACAGAGGCAGGGGTAGGATTCCAATTTCTTAACCGGTTCTGGGGGTGTGGCCTAGTTTGTGGGTGTGGCTTGATGGTCATGTGACTGGCTGGGCATGGCTTCTATATAAATATTATCAGTATTTATATAAATATTGATTTTTTTTATAAAAAAAGAGCAACTTTTACCCAAAATCAGACAAAACAGGCAGGCAGTTGCTCACAGAATCACAGATTCATTCAGAGATCTGTGAGATCGGCTACCTGAGCTTGTCACATAAAATTTACTAGCAAGAAAACTCACAAAATTAACCCACAACACACCATGTATGTAAATATTGAATTTTTTCATTAAAAAAGGCAACTTTTACCCCAAATCAGGCAGGCAGATTAAGTTGCTCACAGAATCACAGATTCATACAGAGATCTATCTTTCTGCCACTGGCTAGCTGAGTCTGCATTGCTTCAGTCCTAAGGAAGATCTAAAGATTAGCTAGAAAGCAAGAAATCTGACGTTTCCTGCATTTCTAGCTAATCTAAATCTCCCAGCACAGCAGAACAGCTGATGGTCAGGAAAAAAAGGAAAAATAGCAACTTAGCAGGCAAGTTTGCCAGGTAAGGAGTGAGTGGGCAGGGAGGGTTCCCGCAGGCCATGTGGGCGGCGCAGCCTTGTGTTCCCGCGCAGCCTGGATTAACTGCTTTGGGTGGGGTGCTCTGGGGATGACATTTCTCTGCGGACCACCAGAATTTTCTTGCGGACCACCAGTTGGTGACCGCTGGACTAGATGACCTACAAGGTCCGTTCCAACTCTGATTATCTGTCTCTTTAAAATGGACTCCAGCACTGAACAGGGAGCTAGGGTCAATGGCTCAGGTGGTTCCTTCCAAGCCTATAATTTTGAGTTCAGTGGGACTTCCTAGAAATTGGGTCCAAAGAAAAGGCTTTATTTAGTGTCATGGTGCCACAAATGTCTCCTTGCAACTGATCTTTCTTTCAATTGTCCTTAGTTTTGAAACTGCAACCAGTAATGTTGTACTTTAAATATTCTGTATTTTGCAAGGGGTCTAAAATGTTTCATCTACCAGAGATGGTTCATTGTCAGAATATTAATCATCCTTCGATAAAACCGGAATGACTAAATATGATTCCAGCCAGGAGAGATCTCTCTTTTTATGATTAGTGGACGATTTCCCAATATAAACATAGCTTTCTCTGCTACCTGCTGATAAAAAAATCTATCATTTTAGGGAACAAAAATTCATATAGCGAGCTCTGGAAATCTTTTTTTCAAGATTAAAACGATTCTTTTTAAAATATCCTTTCTTCTGTAACAAGTTAATTAAGAAATGATGATGACATCTACCTGGAAAATATGGACAATTTCTGAAATCAATGCAGGCAAAGGAAACAGAAACAGTTGTCAAATGATAGATGCAAATGATACAAACACACCGATGTTCAAAACAGGTTTTTTATTATTTTTTTTTCTGAGACAAACACATTGATTTTCTGGACCACAGTAGAGGATGGAAACCTTTCACAAACTTATTTATTTGAAAATACAAATATAAAATTATACTTTCCACATCTGTGATGTGAGAGACCCCCATCCATGTAGTATTTTTACAACAGGGCTTCAGAAAGCCATACACAGAGACCTGAAAGATGCTTGATATATATAGATACACGTGTATATATATATCTATATATATATATATACACACGTGTGTGTGTTTGTGTGTGTGTGTATATATATATATATATATATTTATATATGTATATAAAAAATCACTACCAAAGTTCGCATCAGTTCATACTAAAATATAAAAGGAAGGGGCTAGGCCTGGCCACTGTGTCACTGCTGATTAAATACCTTTAGAGGATCCTTCTCCAGCAAGGTCTGTCCAAATATGTTGGGATTGTGAGAGCTGAGGCCCCAGCGTAGTTGGAGGGCACCTGGCTGGGGAAGGCTGAAATTTTAGAATTATCTGAAAATGCTGAAACTTTACATTGGGTTACTGATGGAATTCCAAGACATGTACAACATATATAATGAGATTATCTGCTATCACTAGAATTCAAAATGATACATCCCACATGTGGTGGCTTATATACAGAACACAGGTTATATAGCATGGGTGACTTCAGTTTGCTTTTTTTGTTTTGAAACAAAATTCAGTAAAGACAATACATTCTGATTGTTTGGTTACTGGCGAACAAACAGCTTTGCTTCGGAACTTTTATTTTTTTATTTTTTTGGTAGAATTCTTATTACAGTATTAAAGTATTGCTTAGCTGGCAGAATCTCATGTAGTGCTTGCACATGGTGAGAAATGGATTGGAATTAGATTCTGTACCCTTTATGAAACTCTACAGTGTATTGATGCAGATTTTTTTTTCTTGAATCTGCCAGTGTGTCTAAGGCCCCCGTCACTCAAAATATAGTTAGACCAGCTTCAAGTCTGCTTTTCCAACCATTTTACTTGGCAGAAAACAAAAAAAACCCAAACCAAAAACAAGTAGGAAACCTTTCAAGCAAATACACTAAGGAGTAAAAAATAAGTAGTTAGTGTTTTTTTGTAAACAATTTTATATGCAATATATATATATTATATAACCATGGCTGACATTTGAGGAAAAATGTAGTAAAACTATATTGCTTTAGTCTTTTTTTGTGTCTTGCATTGAATTAGATGGAAAATGAAACAGGATGTTTTTGGTGACTGGAGTCCCTAGCCCACATTCATACTCCAGACTGAAAGAGCTGTGCAGGGTTAATGGCCGTGTGGAAAAGTAAATTAAAAGTCTGTACACCTTTCAGGTCATTATTATTTACCAACAATTATCCAATGATTCAACTAGCCTAGCAGGATGTGTCACATTCATCAGCTTGTGTATATACTGATGTACAAGAGAAAGAAAAATTACAGCAACAGAGCCATGCTACCTTAAAGTCCAAGCTACTAATTCAAATCAAAAGAAACATTATGCAAATAGGAAATTTTAAAAAGGGACAGGTTGCTCTTCGTTTCAATCAAGTCAACTTCCAACTTAAAATTGGATGAGAAGTTGTTTTTTCCCCCTTTGGTGGGAAGTAAAACAAGATGAACTAAAAATGCCAACAGCCTAGGGGTGAAATTCTGGCCCTTTTGTTCAAGTAAGTAGCAAAAAAACAGAAACAAAACAAAATGTATTTCACTATGCTACATGACTTCTAATTTTCAAAAAATCCTTCTGACACCTCTTGCTGCGTTTCTGATATCCCGATTGCTTTATCAATATATAACTTGGTTTGAGGCACAAAATAGCATTTTTCAATGCTCTCCATGGAAATGGGTAAAGCAGGAGTCGGTCCAAACTTGGCAACTTTAATACCTGTGGACTTCCACTCCTGGAATTCCTCGATTATGCTGGCTGGAAAATTCTGGGAGTTGAAGTCTAACAGGTCTTAAAATTGCCAAGGTTGGACACCCCTTATGTTATATACTTAATGGTGCATTTTGCCCCATTGAACTGCACTTTTGATTTTTGCTAACTCCAAAAGATGAGAGGGCATAAAAGAATCAAAATGGAGTCCACAACCATGTGATCAAAGCCCCAACCATCGCGACGTGCATACAAATGGAGCAGGGCTACGATCACTTGGTTGTGGCGGATGCCATCTTGAATTTTACTTCCTCTCTGCAGACTCCCCCCCCCACCCCCCCCCCTCCCCAAAAGGCAATGTTTGTCAAATGAGGTTTGGAACAGTACAATGCTAGGATGGCAATAGATGCCTCTTCTCCTGACTCAAATAAAGTTGCAGCTGAACTGTCCCATTTAAAATTTATTTCCCCAAATGGAAACAAATTCTGAAATCTTTTAATATGGGCGTCTAGATGAGTGAGGGAAGAAAATGAACCTTACTCTAGGCAGTCGCCTAAAAAATATAACAGGTTCCCTACAAGTTGTGCTCTGGGCATCCAGAAGGTATAGAACTATCTAAAACATATTCACAGAGATTATCAACTTTTCTTCGGAGTATTCTTTCTTTTAAAAAAATACTTTTTTCTCTTTGCAAAATCATTTCATTAATACCATGCTTCCCTTTTTTATTTTAAAAAATAAACTAAAAAAATCCAGTTTTGCATATCTAGCATTAGCATTTAAGGTAGTATGGCACACCCTTTTTTTTTTATAAAAGCTGAAGGGTGGGGGAATCTGCAAAATGGTGCAGTAGTTTTGCCAACATTTATTTTCTTTCTTTTTCTTTCTTTTCTTTTTTTCTTTCTATATTGTGAAGCCTTTGGTTAGTTTGAAACCACATGAGATCAGCAGAAAGTAAAAGAGTGAAAAAGCAAATTAAATAAAAACAAAAACCTGCCCCCAAATTATTAGCATTTCTTTTTGCCTTAAATAAGAGAAAGTTCTATCCTTACTGGTCCTAAATCTGAATAACTACATCTATGTATTTAACCTTAATTACAATACAACTACAATATGTACTGGAAGAGGAAGAGAAGAGAAAGGGTATGTGTGGAGGGGTGTCACTACACTAGAATCAGGACAGCACTCTTACAAGATAGTCATTTTTATACATTATTAACATACAACAATGATCAACAAAGAATCTTCTATGAGGTGCCAGAGACCGAGGAAGGAGGAGGAGGAGGAGGAGAAACACATGATAGTCTACAGTACAGGCACACGTTCCCAGAAACTCCACCGAGGAAGCTCTGTGAAAATCCAAGAGAGCTCCATCATTTAAAAGGAAATTCACCCTCAGGAACTCCTGATAGGCTGCACATGGATGGCGTCTATCTTGATTAAAATGTAATAATAATAATTTAAAAAATCCCTGACTTTTTTTTTTCCCTCTCTCGCTCTTTTTTAATTTTCTTTTTTTGTAAAAACACACTCGAGTCTCAGGGAATTAGTTTGTGATTAATTCCTTCTATTTATTTCATTTCATTTTTATTATTTTTTTAGTGTAACTACTTGATCAAGTCTCAATAACTTTAAAAAGCGTCCAGCATTCTGGCTTTTAAACCTGGTTGTTTTTTCAAAGAAGAAAAGAAAAACTTAAAACATATAACAGCCATTCCCCTCCAGCAAAACACCTCATTTTTGCTGTCTACTTTAAAAATTGGGGGAATGATAAGATTCTTCCCCTCCTCCTTACAGTTCGCCTTGTGGTGCCTCCGTGAGTGATCGAAGATGCTTTGCTGTAACTTGTCTATTGAACATCTATGTTAGCCTACCGGTTAGTAAAATTTTACAAAAATAGGAGTGCAGCAGCTTTTTTTTTTCTCTTAACAAATGTCTCATTCAGTGTCTTATTCTGGCTGTACCTAGAGTACCAAATTTATAAACGTAACAATTTAAAAAAATATTAATAAAACTTGTCAATATTAATGCTTAAAAAAAGAATATATCCACACTATAGTTATGCTTGTAATATCACCTACTGTGTTGTACTTGGAGTTGCTGTTGCCAGCCTATTTGACCCATATTTAAAAAATTAAATTAAAAAATATCCTTCATAAGTCTCCTCCCCAGCAGAGGACCATATATATAACAGCCAAACATTAAACATGTGCAAATCGGAAATTGTCAGTTTTCCCCTACCAGTCACAGTGCAATGATGTTTTTTATACATTTTTTTTTCAAATCTGTTTTCATCTACAATAAATTAAGCTTCTCTTGCCTCTAGGGTGACAAACTTGTAGCACTGAGGTATTCATAACGATTTGTTTAAAATAAACCTTTGCTTTTTTTTTTTCTAATTTGTGAATTAGAAAAGAATGGGAAAAAAAAAAGGATGGGTAAAAAAGGGTGAGAAGATGCATGCTTTTAACTGCCCCTCCCCACAGCTGGGGGCTTCCAAGACGTCAAGACTGGCTTGGTGCGAAGGCTGCAGGCAACGGGGCTGACAGAGATGGATGGACAGTCAGGTGATCTAAATGGTTAAAAAAAGTGTGCTTGAAACTTTAAATACCTTTTAAATATTAAAAATGTAGCTTTTTCAATCTTGGGAAAAGCAGGGTTTTTTTTTTAAACTTAAAAATGTAACTAGACTGTTACCTTCAAAGCTGTGCACAGAGGTCTAGTTAATATGCTGGTATGACGCTAGTACAGTTATAAGGTCTAACATCTACAGAGCAAGCTAAAACAGTGTTGATCTAACTGCTACGGGCCAGCTCTGGCAGTCGATCTCACAAGTTTAAAAACATTGGGGCACAATCCAGCGGAAATGTTCCCTGTGTGTGCTGGCGAGATAAATGGGAATTGAATGAGGATCTCAATGTCCTCATGCATTTTCCATTCATATAAAAAGTCTTGCAGAAGAGAAGATTCTGTTGGGATGTGTGCCCCAAATTTTAATCTTTTTCTTCCATTCACTACAGAAACTGCCTTTATCTGACTCCATCACAAAAATATTACAATTTCTCTGCTTTAATAGTTTATATGCAAGTTAATGGAATTGTATTTACAGTATTACTACTTTTAGATTTCACAATTTCAAAAAACCTTATCGCCTCTTTTTTTTTTAACAACAAAAAAATGCACTTATAGAAAAAGGACACAAAAAAACTTTGTAGTCCTTAGTTTATTGCCGAAAATAGATATAATTAGGTTAACTAATAAAAAGAACTGCTAGAGATCCTGCTACTGAGCCAGCCTCCTATTTCCCATCCAGCATAAAAGAGAGTATTTCCACTTACTTTTCTCACTTGCTCTAATTCTAAATTCAGCGTGCGCTAAATTCCACCTGAAAAAGCCTTTTCAACTTCAGAATTGGTACCAGTAAACTGAAAATCATGCTACCATTTCAGCAACAAAATTACATAAAAAGAAAGATAGAGAAAGGGATTAAAAAGCAAAGCAAAGAAACCTTTAAGATATAGAGTATGGTTAGGGTTTTCCTAAATACACAAAGTAGCAGATCTACTTTGATTATAAGCCTATGTCAAAATACTACAAAAAAGTGATTAAAATAGATCTCAAAGGGGAAAAAAACATCCAAGAAAAATAATAACATGAACAAAAATGGATTATATATATATACACATTTGTTTTAAAAAGCTGTTGTTCTATATAGTACAGCAGGTTCATGAGATGATACCGATTTTGGACAACCCATATCCATTGAGGGTCACCTCCAGTTTGTGTGGGTTACTGATGATGGTGCAATGGTCAAAGTCTGAAGACGTGTCACCTAAACATGGAACCATTCAGAAACTTCGCCCTGTCTTGCCTGGACATCCAGATATACTCTACAGTGGATGAAAGATAAAGAAACAGAGAAACACAATGGTTACGTTCCAACTTTTAGAAAAATGCATCTTCTTAGTCCAAGCAGGGACCCAGACGTGATAGCCCCTTTTCTGGTTTCATACAAGTTCTACTCCACATTTATTTCATGTCTTATATTTGTATTTAACGGGTTCCAGCAATACATTGCACCATAAACTAATTGAATTATTGGTATCTAACAAGTAACAAGTTACCTACAGCCTGTATCAATTGCACCTACTAGATCACTATGGGAGAAACTCCATGTGATTCCATACTTCTGGGAGGAAGGAGAGTCGAAACCAAGAGAGAAGGCTTCTTGGGGGCAGCCCCAGTGCATCCCTGAGACCAGGCTGGCAACCTCCTGGCTGGCTTTTAGAAGGCTGTTAAAAACGAAACTGTCAAGGAGGGCTTACCTGTTACTTCTCTGCTTTCTATTTTTATTGCTATTTTTATAGTACATTCTGCTCATTCATGTTACAATATAACTTATGTCTGTTCATTTCATTATACCCCACGGACGTGCTAATTTTTACATATCATGTAAAACTGCGGAAAATCAAAAGATGGTAGCAGGAGACAAATTCAACAAGCAAACTTAAAACGGTGTCAGGCGGCCTGGAGGACTAGCAGTTGCTTTGGCTGAGGGTGCCAAAGGAGGAAGAAGACGACGAAGGGTGGCAAGGGGCAGCAGGGGTACCCAGTTGCGGTCTGAAGAGTGCAGGGTGATTTCCAGCCCAAAAAAAAAAAAAGACATTTGGGAATGGATTCAGACGTACAACCATCTGATTAGCTTAATGACCACCGTAAGAAAGAGTTTAAAAAATCAGATCTGGTCACAAGATGTCCAAACTTATGATGTCAGCAACTTGCAACAGAGATTCCAGGCCCAATTGTGGTAGTAAGTTGAGGACTGCCTGTGTGTGCATTTAAAAAGAAACATGGGAAACAAGCTCAAGTCATGTCAAATTGGAGTGGGAGATTTTATTTTATACTTGGAAATATGCACTTCAATATTCAGCCTGATCAGACTGTGCAGAAGTATTGTAATCTTCCTAATCTGGTACTGTTCTATTCAGACAAGTCAAAATTCAAGGTGTCCAGAAGTATGCCAAGTTGTGGAAGGATGGTGTGTATGTGTTCTGTGTATGTATATACGTGGGTGTGAGTCTATGTGTTTATGAATTGTGATGGCAAATAACTTGGACAGAAAGACTGCTGAAATTAATAGTTCCCTCAACAGAATATTATTTAAAGATCTAAGCTAGACATGGTGGGTCAATCCTGGGCATCAGTGCAGATGGTGGCAGCAATGGCTATTTGAAGCTAGGATATTCACAGGAAATTCTGGTTTTATAAATAAAGGTTTCTTTGTTGAAACCATGTCGAAAGAGCACAATGACATATGATGGTTTGTTGAACCAGACTCAGATAAAATAATTAAGAAATTATCTGCTTGGTAAGTCCACCATTTCATTTTTCAGGCTTATAGTATTGTGAGCCAAAACAAATGGAGCAATGTGAAATTAGAAATGATGTGCAACTAATCCATGATGGATTATACAGTTTATAAACTGCAGCATGAAGAATCTTTTAAAAGGTTTGGGTTACAGTACTGCATGAGGATAACAATTCAGTTATAGAAGAACTAGTTCATTTGTGAATGTCTCAAATGCTCAGTTTCAATGGCTTGAACAAATACCTTCAATAAAAATGTGAATAACTATGAAATCCAGAGTATTCCCCATAGAAGCCTTAATCCTCTAAGTCCTATTATTCATTCATTAATTCATTCATTTCAAATACACCACAGTGAGGTTCAAGAAACTTTTTCCCTACCTCCAGACTTAAGCCTCCCATATCAAGAAGCCCCCTGGGAAACTTTTATAATGTAATGGTGTACAGAAGATCCTGGCAAAAGTAATCTGAGCTACAGTTTCACTGTAACAATCTGACAGAATTTCAAACTACAGTCGTTTTAGCTGGTGTTGGTTTAAAAGTTGACTCTGAATTAGACTCTCTCTCTTTGGTAGATAGCCTTGCTCTTAAGCGAGGCTTTTAGACTCAAACATGATGGTGGATAATCCCTGGAGTGCAATCTCAACTTCTCTCCTGCACACTCTTCTTGGGTTACAGTGACAGATGTGAAATTCTCATGCTGAGGAGATGGATTGTTCCAGTTAAAAACATATTAGAAAAGGCCACCCTTGCCTTGTCTACCCCCTTCTGCTCATCTTTTGAACATCTATAGTGAGTCCTTTCCTGAGGCAACAAACATCCTCAAAACAAGGGTAACAAAGAAAGATGAGCAGTCACGGAAGCTGTGGTTTGTCTTGCCCGTGAACTTCTTGGCACCCACAGTCCAAGAAGGATCCTTTTCCCTTTGTGAAAAGTACCTCAAGGACACCTGCTTGGCTTGCCAATCTTTATTATGGCTTTATGAGGCGAGTGCATACTGTATGCTAATTGCTTAAACATTGTTCTCACCTCATGCCTCTTTTTAACATTTCTCTCTGCTAGGAACAAGAAATTATTGGGACTTGCTTTTGAGGATCCATTAGCAGACCTAATTTTTGGCAGAAAACAGAGACCAAATCTGTTTATATCAGGATTAATCAGGAACTGCACACTGTGAACCATACAAAAAGTGTCTGCCTACATGAATATGGATAGGCAGACAGAAGTCCTCTTTAACCCTGAGGTAATTTTTATGTTTTTCTATCTGCTTCCCTACGTTTCAGTCCTGGAATTCATGCAGGGCAACTGGGCTTTCAGGCAGACTCCTACCAAAGCCAAAGTTAAGTGACTAGGCAAGTTTCCTACATTCAGGCTTCATTATGGTGTATCAGCCACACAGCAACACATGGATCGTATTTGGTGAATGTCACAAGTACTTAGTTTCAATGGCTTGAAGAAGTACCTTCCCCAAGAGAAGGCATAACTATGAAATCGTGTGTGCTCCCCCCAAATGTCTCTCAGTTGCCCCCAAAATAGGGAATCACTATTACTTTCCAAAGCATCATACCTTTTAGAAGCTTTTAAAAAATCTTAATTTGATCATGATCAGCTCCTTCCACCCTTTCCCACATTCAGTGACTTGGGTTCATCTTCACACATGAAAAATGTGTTTGCTTCAGCAATCAAATTTTTAATTTCATGCTTTGATTTGGAAATTAGAATTCATGCAATAGATTGCGTACATGGTTAAAATTAGCAACAATTTCTCACATTTTCCTTACATTATCCTGGTTATGGCTCTGTTTTAAATTAAATGTTTATAATTGGAAGTATAAAAAAATACTGGGTTAAAAGCTACAGGTAAAAGGAGGAAACAGGTGGGGATCCAGAATAAACATTACTGTAATAAGTGATTTTTTTAAATCTGTTGAAATTTAATTCCTAATTTTCATGATTGTTCTTTAAGAACAAATCACACATATTGTGCTTACAGTCTTTAACATAAAAATGAATTAGTTTTTTAAAAGCACTACAATTTTAAAAAGAGTTTCTTTCAAATTCACATGACTAAGGAGATTTTCCCTCAAACATTCAAGTAACCCCCAGTATTTAGAATTGGTTTAAAAAATCATAGAATTTGCGTAAAAATTTTTAACTGCTATAAACACTAATTTTTTCCAGAATTGTTTCAGGATACCTTTCAAGTTTCCAGCCCAAAAAGTTGATTTTAAAATTTTTAAGAAAAAAATAAAATAAAAGAAGAATAAAGGTATCAGAATTTAACCCCCCAACAAGAGGGAAGGGATATAGTAGGAAATATAAATGCTATATATTGATATACCTCCAAGTGAGATGGCAACCAACCCTGTGTAACGTTTCAGTGGTATCCATTTGTAAAAGCCGTTGCAATCAAAGGCCCCTAAAATTGTACAATTGCAATTGTTACTAATATCATACAAGGGAAGAGATGATTTTATTTACTGTTTTGCATGAATTATCAAAAATTATCAAGTATTGGTGTTGCTAGCATGAATATTGTTGCCATCTGTTCTTGCTCATATATTTGCAAGCTCAAATTTAAGGGTGCTGAAAAGTAAATTTAAACTGCTGTTAGTAAATGGATGGCATAAATGTATTAAAAAGGCAGAAAAATACATTAGAGATGAAATTAAAGAGACAGCTCTATAGACACAAAATAATTTAAGAGACTACACAGGTGCAGACAAAACATAATGCTGACTACAGCGTGATTCTTTAGAAAACAGAGCACAGCAAAGGTCAGCAGCACACACCCTTTTCGAGAACAATCCAATCTTTTTCTATAGGTGCAAAATGGAAATGAGGGGTGTTGTAAACGGTGATAGATGGCAGTTTAAATTGACGTAAGTCTTATCAGAATAATCTGTATTTTACACATTGAGTTTGTTCCAATGGGATTTACCAGCAACCCAGGTGACATTACAAGGAGAAAGAAATGAAACAAGGATTCCAGTATATTTGGGTTATTGTTTAGCAAGTAAAATAATTTGAAGAACTTGTCTGCATTTTTGAGACAAAATAACACAGCTATGGCCATGTGTGTGCATGTCTGTGAATTTTTTCAAAGTGGTTTCAAAATCATTTTATTAACTGGTTACGAAGATATGCAGGACATTCATGCTACCACACACAATTTGAAAACAGCAGAATTAGAGGAAATGAACATTGCATGCAAAATTTGCACTCCCAAATTAGTATTTTTCCCCCACATTAGTAATTGCACCATGTTAATGTTCAACTTCGTTGTTATTCATTTGACAAAAGGTATGCTGCACAACTTGCTAGCATTTCTGTGAATAACTAAGCCCTTCAGGTTTAATTCACATTATATTTCCCCTACCTTTTATACTCCCTTTTGCTTGGGATTATTAGAACCATTCTCAAGGGAGAGATATAGTTTAATTTGGTCATGCGTTTAATTGGCTATTAAAGTGCAGGGCATGGCAACTTCCCCTGCTAAATAGTAGGCCAACGCTTCAGTTCTAACCTGGCTAAAAAGAAAGCGGGCAACACAATTATAGGCCTCCCTTCTTTCCCACACTGAAGTCTTAAGAATGTTTCTATAAATGACTCAGGTGTCTAGGCATACATCGGTTTCTGAAGATGCAAGACCACATTAGACTGTCAATGAATTTAATACAGAAATGCACCTTGAGGAACACTCAGAAGTACAGCCTTTTCTAAGATACATTGTGATATGGGTATTGCCAAAAGAGATGCTTCGGGTTAACTTAAATTTAGCTCAGTATACAATCTCTATTTGTTGTTTTGGTTCATTTCTGAAAAGCTCTCCTGATTTTTTTTTTCTGGATTCCAGCCAAAATAGCTTGTAAAGACATTAAAACAGAAATTTTGGGCTCAGTTGTGGTCATAAGTCAAGGATTATCTGAAAGACGAATCATCTGGCCAAGTTTGGTGTACAGAATTTTTGTGGATGTTCCTAAAGAAAAAGACACATCCCACGGTTAAGAAAAAAATCAGTGTGCTTTGCAGCTTGATATATCTGTGTTTTCCCTTTCTTCTGTTGGTATAAATACAGTATGTTAAACGGGCATCTCTCAGGTGCTATGAAACTGAAATACAGGAATCCAATTCACACCCAATTTCTGGCAAAAAAAAAAAAAAAATTCTGAATGTGGCATCTGGCTGAATGAGGTTTCTAGCAAGTCCCAGAGAAATGGTATGCGGTCTCTATCAAAATGGGAATCCTGCTACATGGAATCTATAGATCGTGTGTGTGTGTGTGAATAAACAGATTCAAGATAGTGTCCAATTCATAGGACAGGGTCCCAGATCGTGTTGCTTTGAAAGGTTCCATAGAAGAGCATTGCAGGGCCAACAGATTTTATTCACTCTAGAGCTTCTGCAAGAGAAGAAACAGGAAGACAAAGAGAGTTACTTACAGCAATTCCATGCCCAAAGCCAGAGCCAGGCTGGGGGCTGGCAGCACTTATGTAGTTACCCACACCGGAGTCTTGACTGGCTGTACCGTAGAGGTCTGCAACTGGACCCGGGCTGTTTGCCCCTGGAAATCCTCCGGGCCGGGCTGGATTGGAGCCTGCCGGGGAAGCGGGTGCGCCAAAATTCGGTTGAGCACTGTAGCTATTCAAGACTGGTGTGCAGAGAATAAAGCTGGGTATGAGGCCAGAAGCTGAGCATGCACAGTTATTACAAAGCCAAACACTAATAAAAACAGCCTAGGCCCAACTTCTAACACTTAACCAAGGCCATGCGATAAGAGAGCAAGTACTCAATAAAAGTCAGCCCATACTACTAAGAAGCTTAGAGCTCCAAATATAGAGAAATATGTAGAAAGAGAGAGAGAAAGAGAAACAGAAAGAGAGAGAGAGAGAGAGAGAGAGAGAAAGAGAGAGAGAGAGAGAGAATCATTCAATACACTACTGCAACCAGAGACTGTATCGGTGGTCAGTTTCACCAAATTATCACAAAAATATATATTTTCTGACATCTGATTTGATGCTCATGCAGTAGTAAAATGGGTTTTCTAGATCTGGGCACGTTGAGACAGCATTCACATCCCATGCAAACTACAAAGGAACTAGTTTTAGACTACACATTGTGTTAATATTGATATTAATGTTGACAGCAGAGAAAGCAAATCACACTTAGAAAAACTTTTTCGGGTGCGGGGGGGGGAGGAGTGGAATCCACTGAAAACTTTCAAACAGTACATCCCTCCTGCCCGCCCACTTCTTTTAATACTGAAGAGACATGAAGGTTTGAAATGTTTTTTCTTTAAATAAAAACAAACAAACAAATGATAATGTAATGGAACACTTGGGGGTGTTTGATATACGTAAGAGTAGTTTTGTTTCCCTTCCTCCTTCTAGTGTGGAGAAAACAAGTGCCTTTTTCCCTCTCAAACTATTAATTAGGTAGAATACAAGGAGGGATGAATAGCCAGAAGCTGAATAAATCTGCATCCTGAAACTTAATTATTTCCAAAAAGAAAACATATAAATTGTAATAAGACAATCCCTACGACTGGAACATGGTAGGCAGTTCACTTTTATGACTATTTTTGTAAAGGGAATTAGATTAGCAAGATCATCAGGGAAAGCACTGAACTGTTAGGTGCTTGCTTCAAACAGAGAGAAACAGAGAAAGGGAGAATTGCTGGAGACCCAACCCTGCTACCTGCATGCTAAGAAAAGCAGAGCTGTTTTCTTCAGCTGATTGTTCATGACCTTTCAAAATGTATGACCTAATTATTAAATGAACTTTTCTGTCACTAGTCTGTCTGTAATCCCTAGAGATGACGGTGCTTGGATATAAAACAACGACAACAACAACTAGGAGTAAGGAGACCTCTCTGGTTATGGCCCTGCCTCACAACACAAGTGGCTCAATAGTACTATACAGAAGTGTGGCAAGAAACAAAAGTCCAATTAGTGCCTGGCTTTACAGGCATTGCACTAAACATAAAAACAGGCAGAGCTTTGATGGCCCTGTCATGCCACCATCTCGACTTTTCAACTACATGTGTGGACATCCCTGGCACTCTATGAAGGGAGCCACAGAAAGAAAATGAATCTCTAGAGAGCTGAATTTATCCCAGTTGGATCCAGCACACAAAGGGTTTAACTAACTCTACACCATCAGTTACTTTATGGAAATGCCAAAGCCCATTTAATTCACACATTTTGTTGAACTGATCCTTCGAAGGAAAGAATCAAAGAATGAAAGAAACGGCAAGTCTCATCATTTCTAAATTCATTTCAAAAGTTGGTTAATGGAGAAAACATTTCCTAAACCCCGGATGGCTAGACAGGCATCAGTTGGAATGACTTGGCCACCTCAGTCAATAAGAAGGGAGACTGTGCAACCGGGTGCTCCCATAACCACAAAGAAAGGAGCTAACCGGGTTAGATCTGTTGCAATTGAGCACTTTTAAACATTCATTTTAGGCAAACAAATGCACATTTGAGTACTTTTTCTTTCCATTCATGAAAGATGCAAGTTTCCCAAACAAGTTAACATGGCATGTAAGTCTGATTCTTCCCACTTTCCTCCCTCCCCTTGCCGGTTCGGACAAGTTATTACAGTACATCTGAGATATTGGCCTCTGGTATTTCTCTGTCTACTCTTTGCAAGATTCACTGCTTTATTCAGACTCAAGGAGCTATTTGTTTACCTAAGGAAACTGTGCAAATATACACATCTGCTGGGAAAGTTTTCAATCTCTTAATAGCCACCTCCATGGTTAGAAAAAAAAAATCTGTACGACTGGTTGAGGATAAATCACATCCAATTCAGTTTATATCAATTTCCTGAGCAATGTGCCATCTGTGGTTAAATAACTAATGTTTGCTTGGTAGAGGGCAAATGGGAAGGGTTGCCTGTTCCGAGAAAGAGGGAGAAACATACAGGTAATCCCCGACTTACGACCGGTCACTTAACATTACAAGAGATCCCTGCCCCAAAGCTAATTATGACCATTTTTTGAAGTTATGGTGGCTATACACACCACCCCAGGGTCACCACCCTAGGGTCACATGATCACATAGAATAATAGAGTTGGACAGGACCTTGGAGGTCTTCTAATCTAACTCACGGCTCAGGGCATTTTGCATGTTTGGTAGCCAGCTCACCTTCATTGCCACTGACAGCATCACAGTGACTGCAATTTGTGAAAATTTTTTGCCACTTTCTGGAATTTACTTACAGTTTCCGGCAACCCCCACAACTCATTGCAGAAAATTGGAAAAAAAAGGTGGGAAAAAAAAGGTCTGAACTCAGCTTACAACTACAAGAGCTGGGCTCAATTCCAGTCGTAAGTCGAGGACTAACTGTAATTTACAGAGAAATGGGGGAAGTCCATGTGACAACACTGCTTAAAACCGACAAGAGGAAAAGGTGAGCACGATCAAACCTGGGATAAAAATATGGAAGAACTCTATTGGGCTAGGCTGTATTGGAAAAACAAAGCCATTTTAAACGATATTGAAGATTAAACGTCAAGCTAACTTTTTTTTTTTGTTTTCATTCATGAAGAAAAACATCCAGCTGAGATATTCAGAGGCCTTATATTAAATTGCTGGAGCAGACTTTTGTTTTCCAGTTCGATAAAGTGGATATTGGCCTTGCTGACAGCTCACCAGAATGCTTTCCTTTGCCAGGCGAATGAACATGTTGGCCTCAGAAAGCGATCACATGCACAGACACACATGGGCTCCACATCTCCCATCTTTCAATCGCACCATATGGAAGCCATGCTTGGTTTGAGCGGAGAACCTCCTCATAACGCGAGGCAGTTCGGGTAAGATGGCAGCTCAGCACACCAACAGCTTAAAAGTCTGAGGCAGAAAGTTCCAGATAGAATGTGGGGTGAGTGAGTGGGGAATTGGATTTTCTTCTTCTTCTATTGCTTGAAAGAACCTGTGGTTTCATGGCTCTGGAGTCTTTCATGAGTACTTCCTAAAGAACCCAAGGAAGATTTCGGTGACTGACCTGCTCTTTTTCCATCTCTGCTTAAGCTTGCTGGGACAGAAAGGTCTTCTTTGGAGACCTGGGACTCCAAGTTGCATGATGTGCACACGGAAGCTTTTCTTTTTAGATTGGGTGCCATACAATTCCATATGTTAGCAAAGGTGCAAAAATGTCCTCTTGATGGTAGGAATAAGTGGAATAGCCAGGGGAATAGACTGGGAAGGACTGCATTGCTTTAGGTGGAGATGGAAGGAAATAATACATAAGCTGAAGCTTATTGGAACTTAGTGGGACTGTCTCATCAATTTAATGCCCTGGTTTTATGGACGTTGTTGATAGCTATTTTAACATTTTAAAAATACTTTGACACTGTGGCCAATCATATGACCCTATTTTTTTTAAAAAAAATAATCGAATGCCAAATTTTAATATCTGATGGAAAGAGTATCAAGTGGTCAGGGATCTCCCCTATTCCAGAATGAGACCTAAATTTAATTAACATGCTCAGCTAAGAAGGTTTGCACCAAGGAAAATGGAGCCATGCGTCAATCTCTTCTTCCACATGACCTTTCGTATCTACATCCCCATGGCTGGAGCACTCATCTGTGGTATCACAGAAATCTAAATCACCTTATTTACTTCAGTAGAGTTGTTCACTAAGATGCCAAGAACAATAAATTGCCAAGTTGACAATTTGAAGGAAAATAACAGTGAACACGAAGGATTCTGTATTTTTTTTTTATACCTCAGTCTTTCCCCCACCCCTATGCCTCAATCATCCCATTCCTAAATTATTGTAATTTCCTTAGAGAACAATAATTCAGAGCTCACTATACTGATTCCATGCTCTGTTCTATTGCACAGTCAATAGTTGGTCATTTTTCTAAGTTGTTGTATGTCACAAAGTAAAAGTGTTTACTTAAGTCAGGCTTGGAGATGAATGCTATAGCTTGGGAGATATGTTGATGAAGATTCTCAGTTATCTGGAAGTTGAGTCATGGCAACTGGACTTATTTTCTTCTTGGTTGGGAGATGTTTCGCTGCTCACCCCAGCAGCTTCTTCCGTCTGAATAAGTCGGTAAAGGGAATCTGAGCAGGCAAGAGAGTCGTTGGAATCTGCCAACTTCTTAAAATTCTTGGGGGTATTTAAGAAATGTCTCAAAATACCACACACTTTGGGGAAGAAACCCCAAAGTGCAGGGATACCCCTAAGAATTGTAAGAGTTGGTACATTCCAACGATTCTCTGCCTACTCAGATATCCCCAAATATTCTTCGGTTGAGACCGAAGAAGCTGCTTGGATGGGCAACGAAACTTCTCCAACCATTTGCCACAATTCAACTTCCAGATAGTAGTTTGGAGGCAGAATCTTTCCTTCTTCTCCCAAAGGTGTTTTTTCAAGAGGCAACTGGGCTTTCTGGAAGTCCAGTTGCCTCTTGAAAAAGCACCTTTTGGGATAACCATGAGCTGCATGACTGAGAATCTCCATAAACTTATTTTCTTCTGCTCCCAAACTTATTTTCTTCTGCTCCCTTGTAATGGAAAAAACAACTCTGAGGGGAGGCAAAATGTGATGGGGTGCCCTTTTGTTTGGTTAACAAATGGTCTTTTCCAGAATTTCTCCACTGGAGGTGCGTTTGAAGCAGAGGAAATTTGGGGTGA